AATAATAAAAAATAAAAAAAAAGTTAAAGTCAATTCCTACTTTTTTTTCACTCTATTGCAGAAAGTCCTTTATAAAAAATTTTCATTCATTTTTTTAAGTTTATTTGGCGCCATTTATTGGTAGATATATAGATAGATGCAACTTAACCAAAAAAACTAAAATTAATTAATTAAACTTAATTAATGAATTAATATTTGAAAAAACTGTCATCCACTACAAGTTAAAAAAAATGTATTTGAACTTGCATGGATAAATAAAAAGTATTTTATGAACGATTGAAAATTTGAACAAGATATATATAGGGAGAGTGTGAGCTAATAGTAGGAATTGAAAAAGTAAATAAAAAATATAAAATATTTAAAAAAAACATGCTATAGCAAACTCTCTGCTAATTATATTTATAATTATTTAAACAAATGGTTAATTCATTAGTGATATTGAAGATAACTATAATGAAGAACAGACTATAATGAATCTAACCCATATTTTAATCACTATGTTAATTCTACTGAAATGTATACTTACTTTGATTTATGCTGTTTTTTCAATGTCTTTTCTTTCTTCCAGCAAATCATTATTGTGATAAGTCAGATATAGTGGGATTTATGGGACAGATACAATATTGTTGGAAGCAGTCCTACCATTCAAAATGGTTTTCAAAGCAGCCAATGTTTGAGTAGGTTCAATAGTAATTTGAAATTAAAATTTCAAATTACATTAAATCTATAATTTTTCAAATAGATTTAGTATTTGTCTAAGAACTTTTGTTGTTTTTTGTTTCATAATTTTTAAAAATATAAATGCAATTATTTTATATTATCAATTAGAAAAAAACTGTTATCTCTTGTTTGTAAGAATATAGCACCTGCTTTGAAGAGATGGAAAATGCATTTAAAATTTCTATTTATTTTAAGATTTTTTTAATGAAAATTTTTATTTTAAAAATTGGTAATGAATAATTCTTTTAAAAATTGTTAATTTAAAACTATTTATTGCTTGTTTGATAATTTTCTAAAAAATATAAGTGCAATTATTTTATATTATCAATTAGAAAAAAAATTTTATCTCATGTTTGTAAGAATATAGTACCTGCTTTGGAGACATTTTTCAAAATGCATTTAAAATTTCTATTTATTTTAAGATTTTTTTTAATGAGATTCTTCCTTTTAAAAATTAGTAATTAATAATTTTTTTAAAAATTGTTAATTTAAAATTCTTTGTTTGAATAAAAGTTACAAGAAAATTAATGGACATAATTTAACATTCAAATTTTATCTATAATCAGAAGAATAAAGACATATAACATTAAATAATTTAAATTTTTTGGAATGAATTGAAATTTATAATTAATCATAAAAATAAATTTAAAATTATTCATAAAATTAAATTTAAAAATACAATTTTAAACTACTAAATTTTTTTATAGTTAATTTCATGTAATATTATTTAAATAATCTTTAAGATTTTTAGTCTGAAGATTATTATAATAATCTTCAGACTTTAATTATTTCTCATTGAATTTCATGTAACCTAAAAATCCAAACTTTAATTATTTCTTTCTTAATACAGTAAAATAATGGAATAAATGAAATAGAGTTTTAAAAAAATTAAATTTCAATAATTTCGTCTTTGTTACAATAAATTAATGGAAAAGATTAAAAGTTAAAAATCAACAATTTAATATTTTTTTTTATTACAGTGAAATAATGGAACTTTTTCTTTTTTACGTATACTATTCATCATACTAATTGTTTTATTCATACTATTTATTACCTATTTGCATAAAAAAGATAATTTTTCACAATATTTTAAAATTTTGTTTTCTTTTTTCAGAAAAGTGAATGCGATGAATCAGTGTGTTACTAATTGTCCAATCAATTGCATTTTCTCCAAGTGGGAAGTTTTTAAAGAAGTATTCAGATTTATAGTTCAATCATTGTCAAGAGGTAAATAATTAGTTACCTCTTATCTGTTTAATCAACAGATAGGAAATTAAATTTCTATTTCATGGTTTTTTTTACTATTTTACTTACAAATCCATATTGCTCTATATCAGGGGTGGCCAACCCAAATGATCTTGCGGGCCGCTTAGGAAATGCATCCTAACTCCGCGGGCCGCATGTAAAATTATATATCCCCATACTAGATTTAAATCTACTATTGACAATTTTGTGGAGTGAAAAACTGAAACATAATGAGTTATTATTATTGTGCTTACTATTATTCTTACATGTGAACATAGATAATATAATAATAATGATACTAAACGCGCATTGTAAAGAAATATATATCCCTAAAAATGAAATATAAAATTATATAAATATAAGTGAAATAAAAAAAAATGAAATCACTTAAAAATATTTATTTTACTAATGCGATATTTGTTTCACCACTCTTTCACTTACCTTTTGCAAATCGATGCGCGCGCATCATGAATATAATTTAATTATTCTGCGAACTCATAACTGTAAACTTATAAATAAAGCAGGCAATATCTGTCATATAATCGCAATTAATTAATATTAATGTCATATAATCGCAATTAATGTCATATAATTAATTTTTCTCATCATTTCGACAGTTAATTTTTGGATATATGGATGCACACATAATGCAATTTTTTAACGCACTGCTTTTCCCTCCTTTGGCCATTATAAAATAAATAAATTTTATAACACAGTGGTAAATCTCCCGGGTCGGAAAAATGTTCAATGCGGACTGCGGGTTGGTCACCCCTGGTCTATATATATAATTTTTTTTTCAAATTCTGACTGGCTAACTCAGCCGAAATCAAAAATTAGCAGCAAACTGAGAAAATTCAAAACACCCTTTTTTATGCCGGAAAGGAGTGTTATAAATCTGTTAATTGGATAATTCTTTCGTTGCATTCCAAAATACAGCGGAAGACGTGAAACTTCAAATGTTACTACTACTTTAAAATGGCAGTAGCACTATGGACAAAGTTTAACTATAGAAAAGATTATTTTCTCTGCTAAGTGGCCTGGAAACCTCGCTGACTCGCAAGCAAAATTTGTAGAAACAACGAATTTTTAGCATTTTCTTTGCTGATTTTGCACTAAAGAAGCTTCAACACTAAAGAGGCAATCACGCGCCAGCACGTGGTGGTGATAACTTAATGGTCATTCAGGCATTCGGGACCCAAAATAAGAAAAATACAATCTAATAAGCCATTAACAAATGATGAAATCGCAAATGTGTTAGCTGAACTTTCAAACGAGTACGCGAGTAATGTTAGTTACGGCAGAGATGAAGAATCCATTACTCCCTAAGTTTTGTATTAATAATATCATTATTAACCAACTTATAATAATTTATTTTTATTAAATATTTGTTAATGATAAAGTATTATACAAAAGCAATGCCTTTTTTCACTTATTTTCATTATTATTTTATTTCATTTTTATACATCACGCACTAGCACGTAATGTGTCATTTAGGAAATAATTTAAAAGTCCATTGCTCATCACGTGCTTGAGCATAGTCAAAATATTCTATCAGGAAAGTTTTAAATATTGCTTAGTCATCAGCATGATACACATAATCATATTTTATTGTCACCTTTTCAATAATAATTTTTATATAAAGTAAGTCACTTTCTATGAAAAACTCATTTCTACGGTTAGCCAATAATTATAAACACAACCTCATATTACAAACAACGAAAGTGTTAACTGAAATTTTATGTAGCTGCTTTAAAATTTTTTAAATTTCACTTTAGGATTTAAAAACAGGTTAGATATATAGCAGGAATGAATTCCTTAATTTATTAGAAAAGGAATTAAAAGACGATTAAGAATTCATTCCTCCCTAAGTTAATAAAATCATTTCAACCAACTTATAATAATTTTTTAGATTAAATATTCATTAGTGATAAGGTATCACACAAAAATAATGCCTTTTTTCCCTTATTTTCATTATTTTTTTTTTTTTCATTTTTACACATCACGCGCCATCACGTAATGTGCAACTTAGGAAATAATTTTAACCTCCATTGCCTATCACGCCCTATCGCATAGTGAAAGTGCAGTGGGATTATACTTAAAGCCCCACTTTCAAAATGCTGTAAAAAAAGAACCGCTGGTCACAATGAGTTCAAATTTGAACTGAAGATACTTGAAGAAGGTGAAACGGTATTGCATGAAAAAAAAATTCCACCGATTTTTCAAATCCAATTTGGTATGACCTTGAGTGGTGGATGGACTTTCCACCAACAGTGTCACAACTTTTGAATGACTTGGAAGTCATTTTTTCCCATCAAAAAACCGAAATAATCAAGCACATTGAACACTACAGTTGGTTTAATATGCATCTCGTGCCAAATACGTTGTAATTCCGATACAAAATATCACTTGCAGCCGAATTCACTTTCTTCATGCCGCTTACATCGCCATCTATTAATACACTTTGGAACTCTTTTGATGCCGTACTATTTCTCCCTTCTTCAAGTATCTTCGGTTCAAATTCGAAGTTATTGTGGTTCTTTTTACAGCATTTTGAAAGTTGGATTTTTAGTATAATGATCCTGTATTCTATCAGGAAAGTTTTAAATATTGCTTAGTAATTAGTATGATGCACATAATCTTGTTTTATTACTACTTTTCAATTCTATTCGTTATAAAAAGTAACTCCCCTTTTGTCAAAAACCCATTTCTAAACGAGTCAATAACTATCAACACATCCTCACATGACCGACAACGAAAGTATTAATTAACTGTAGTCTTAAGTAGCTGCTTTGAATTTTTTTAATTTCACTTTATGATTTAAAAACATGTTAGATATATAACAGTAAAGAATTCCTTAATTTATTAGAAAATGAAATAAAAGACGATTAAGAATTCCTTCTATTCTATGTCATTTGCAATTATGTATAGTAATCCATGTATCGCTGGTTATGTTGCTAATACAGACATTGAAAAAATGGAAATGTTCTTATATATTTTGCATGATTTGTCTGTGTTATACTCTGATGTCTGCCAGTGGGGATGTAGCTCAGTGGTAGAGCGTTCGCTTCGCATGTGAAAGGCCTCGGGTTCGAACCCCTGCATCTCCATGATATACTTTTTCGAAGTATACGCGAATATACGCAGTAATATGCGAGAGTCATCCAGCTTGAGGGAATTCAATCTAGTGATTGTGTACTCGTTCATTGATAATCACTTTTATACGATCAGCTTATTCTCCCGTTCAGCATACCCTTTATCACTATAATTATACTTTCTTCAATTGTTTTTGTCGCATCGACAACTGGTCCCTAACTGTACCGAATTTATACTTAAATTCTTTTAATTTTATTTTTTATTTTTTCAATTCCTACTATTAGCGCACACTCTCCCTGTATATATCTTGTTCAAATTTTCAACCGTTCATAAAATACTTTTTAATCATCCACTCAAGTTCAAATACATTTTTTTTTTTGAACTTGTAGTGGATGACACTGTATGTTAATACAGTTTATTTGAAAAAGAAACTATTAACTAAATTTAATTAATAATTTTTAATACTTTAAATATAGTTTTAGAAATTTGTAATGAAAATTGAAATCTTGTTGACCTAAGTAGGAATTGATTTTAAAAAAAAAAATTGTATATTACTTGTATTACTTACGTTTATTTATTTTTTGTATTTTTTAATTTTTTGAGTACCATGTTTAAAATTTTTGAAACTTTATCTTGCACCTTTATACTAACCTTAACCAGCCAATTAAAATTGTAAATTTATTTATGAATTAAGATGAGGAGGTTAAGGAGTCTATCCCCACTGGTACTCCGTAATGGGTACGCCAATTCCCATTTGCTAATACTATTATACAAATAAATACAAGGTTTCTAGTTTGTAAGTAATAATTTCATCTACTGGTATCTTGTCCTCTAAATAAAGTGATACATTTTGTTTTTGATTAGGTAAAAGAGATGTTTGTGGCTCCCTTTTTACACTGAAGAACTTGGAAACCTGCGGACAAAATTTAGTGTCCATCACCTCTTCTCTGCAAGATACGAAAACCGGAATGAACAAAAGGTAGGCTTTTTCTCTTCATTAGATACCTATACATACAACAAAGGATAAAACATTCATTATAGTTTTTCTTGTAATCAGTACTGAGAATAATAATTAGTACTAACTAATTAATAATTTAAAAATGTAATTATGTATGTGGACATAAGGTTTGTTGAAATATTAACATGTCTTCTTAAATCATGTCATAACAACAAACATTTAAATAATAGTTAAGATTTTGGAGATGATTTTTACCAAAGTGCAAATGGTTTATTATTCTACTTCATATGAATGAAATGGAAAAGGGCAAGAGGTAATTTCTAAACCCTTATATATGAAATCTTGTACAGTAAAAGTATCCAACTTTTATACTTCTTTAAACAAAAGGGAAGAAGGAAATTATCTCGATCCGCATATAACATTCATTCACATTTACTACAAATGTAAAGAAAATTATATTTAACAAATTAGGTATTGTCACTAATACCCGCTATGATAAATAAAGATAAACATTGAATATTGAAACATAAGCATTGTTGACTACTTTTTATTCAAAGACTTTTATCACATGAAATATGTTTTCTTAAACTTGAAATATTGAACAAAAAATGAAAATAAGAAATGAATGGTTACTTAACTAAAACAAAATAAATCTTTATTAATTTTTAAACACACTTTCGATCATCTGAAACGTAACATTATGAAGAATGAGACAGTCCAAAAGATAAAAATAAAACATGTTAGCAACACTGTTATTAAAAAAAAACATTGTTTGAAGTAACGCTGTTGAAAATAAAGCATTGTTGGAAGCAGCACTGTTAGAAGTAACGCTGTTAAAAATAAAGCATTGTTGGAAGCATCACTGTTG